AATCAAATAAATAACAGTTAATGTTGTTACCAATGCCACCTGAATGGCAAAGGCCAGATCATGGCCCACGAAATTCATCATGGCAAGGGGCTAAGTGACGCCTGTCGTTAGCCGTAACTTTGAGCACCATACAGGTGACAGAACGATCTAGCTTGGTTTCACCCAATTTTGAGGGAGAACACCCTGGGGGTGATCACGGGCCTCCCACCTCTCTTCCTCTTCCACCAACCTCAAAAGAGGCAGCTCGACGGCTATTTAAAGTACCCCCATGCCACAAAGGCACTATACATTTACAAACATCCATGTCTTCTCCGGGATTCGAACTCAGTCCCTATTTGACCCCTCAGCGACGCTAACCACTATACCGGTTGGGCGACAGTAATATATATAAGAGTGATATGTATTTTTAACCTAAAATTTCCTTCGAAAAACACTTAACTCGAATAGAAATAATACATTACTTAAAAAAACATAAAATAAGTCAAAACCTCAATTCATTATAAATACATTAATACATTATGTGAATACAGAAAAGAAACCTTAACACAATAATCCAAAATCTTACATACAGTACTTAAATATATAAAAATATTCAATAAACCAAAACTTTAAATACATTAATTAAATGCTTATATAAGCCAAACCTTAGTACGCGATAAGCCAAAACTAATTACATTCTTTAAATGTATAAATCACACAAACCTTAGTACAACCCAACCCAAAACCTTAAATATATAAGCCAATACTTAATACAATAAACCAAAACCTTAAAAAAAAGTGAACAAAACCTTAATGCAATAAATCAAAACTTTACATACGTTACTTAAATACATAAATGAAACTTTTATACATTTAATCCAAACATGAAATGTATAATCAACACCAAATACAATAAAACAAAACATGAAATGCATAATTAATACTAAATACAATAAAACAAAAACAAAAACTTTAAATACATTACTTAAATATATAATCCAAAAACCTTAATTCAATAAATACACTACGTATTATTATATTGTTTGAAACTGCGCATATTTTTCGTGAAAAATTACACAAAAAGTTAAAGACACATCAGCCCATATTTTCAATAAGTATAACC